CCCCGCCAAAACAAAAAAAAAGAGATCAGAATGTGAGAATTTAATATGAATTCAATGAAGGTGTCGAATTCTTCGACTTCGGTGTCTGAAACGACAAATGAAAAAAATGACCTTTTACCAAATCTTCCCTCACATCGTAGGAAATGCAAGGAATTGAAGGAAATGCCATTTCAGAAACTCTAGTTTCCAAGTGGACCACGGGTGTCAATGCCATGCCAATGGGGATATTAAAGTTCCACTTCCATCACGAAGAAATGACCATGGGGATCGAAAGAGGTTATTAAAGTTCAATACTGATATAAACACTGAGCTGATCATGATAAGCTGATAAGTGATAACAGGCTTGATACGAGTGTTTAAAAACTTACGTAAATTCGTTGTTTTTTTTTAAATATATGGCCCAATATCACATAATGATATAACAATGTTAAATATTTTTCAAATTTTTTTGATAAAATCATATTCACAAGATATATCCACATTGCCATCGGAAAAATCTGTGTTTTGAAATATTCTAAAATAAACAGTATAAAAATTGGGCCTACATTGACATTGTTAATTATGTATTATTAAATCTCCGAGTGAAGTTTTTCGAGTTAAGTCTTAAGAGCCCTTGTCGAGTCAAGCCCTCATGCAGTGGTCAAGCCCCGAATGCGAAAACATGACTCATGAGTCATGAGTCATGAGTCAATAAGAGCCATTTTCACTTGAAATGTCGTAGCTTAACTCGAATTTCTTGACTGAAAATTTCTTGACTGACTTTGAGTTAAGCCCTTTTTTCCACAGGGCACAGGGTTTAACTTCAATGGTCGAAGTTGTCTTTTTTATCGAGGTGTTTTTTTTGCTTAACCCAAAGATTACCTAACCGATCTCTCTCCTCCGCAGAGGCTTTAGTTTTCTTAGGATTTAATATTACGATGAGATACATTTCACTACACAGCCCAGTAAATAAAATATCTATTTATATATTTTTCACTGACTTGACGATTCCGTGTGCTTGGGTTTGCTGTGGCGTGCCACGTTGCTTGAATTTGAGACTCACAGCGCATGACTAACACGAAAGACGAGCCCCCGATATTTGCACAAGTTTTTAAGCAATCTTTTTCTTCAATGTTTGGCTATTTCTTGTGCGAGAAAGCCTTAAAAATGGGCGATTTCTTCTTCTTGAACATTCTCCTTGGATGATACGGCTCTTATAAACAACTATAACAAGATGTCGAGGGCTGGTTTCCCAACAGAGAGCTTATCACCGCCTCAAACATACGAGACGATGCAAGGTAAACGCAACTCCCCTGTTCTACAGGAACGAAACGAGACTGGTACTGGCCGATCAGGACCAAATTCCCCCACGACGAATCAAGGCAATATTCCACATCTTATGAATACAAAAGACACACTGCAAGGTAATGTATGCAATAAGCCTTATAGTAAAAATTTTTGGTGGGTATTTGTAAATTTATTGTCGAGATTTTGACAATATTAAATTCGCGACCTTCGTATTATAAACAACAAATACAGATTGCATAAAAAAATGTGTCGTTTTAGATGTGATTGAAATAAATATTGGAAGTGTGGGCATGGTAGGATTTTACAAAGTGGTTGTATAATTTTGCATTTTCGTATATTAGAGAAAGATACAGATATTAAGTACAACATAAGTGTTATTTTTTAGTTTACACGTAAATATTAATTAAAAGACAATTCAATAGGACAAAATACACAAGCTTATATCATTTTAGTGTTGAGTCAAATTTATCCACGATGACACGTATGAAGTATTTATATAGCATTACATTATTAACACCACTATTTAATATTTGTATTAAAACAATTATCAATTGAAACAACTGTAATGTCATTTATTTAAAAATGTTTTCTTAATTGCTGGATCTCATTTCTATGAAATTTATTGATTCAAGTGAAATTTAATGTCACAGTAATTAAGGTAATTATATCAACATCATATTCAACCATTAAATTAACCCATTAAACTGAAAAAATCACTCTCAGGTGGATAGTGCTTTCCAGCTTTGTACAACTGGCGCCTGGCATGTAGACTTGCTTCAAGCCAGTCTCTGTTCTCCCATTATGCACCTATCATTGTTTTCCCCCTGAGGGGGGAGTGCGGGCGACCCAAGGGACTTTGTAAAACATATGTGTGCCTTGTTATCTTAGGAATGTACTGGGGAATCTTGACAGCCGTTCCTTACCCAACAGTGGGGATTTTGACTACAAAATTTTAAAAATGTCAAAATTCCCCTGGGTTGCCCGCACCCCCCTCTCAGGGGGAAAACATTGAGAGAGTTTAAGTTCGAATTCCGATAGCAATATCGATGTCTTCACTTCCGTTCTCATTTTGGTACCGGGAATTTTAAAGCGTTAAGTTATCATGACAGATAAAGTATAGAACACATCAATCGTCACCGAAAATGTGCGGTATACTAAACGGCAGCTGAGCTAAAATTCTGACTAAAACATGACTCAGGCGATGCTAATAAACAAATAGTTTACATGTTTATCGAAAAATTATGAAATATCCAATTTATATGAGTTTAAAGATAAATTCCCACGACTTCCAAAACAAGGCCGACTTCGGCAGTGGTGACGTCCAATACACTTGTCCTCATGTTTCTTGCGAGCAGAGCGCATGCGCATGACCTGTTGTTAGTATCGGTATTGGTATTGGAAGTCGAACTTAAACTCTCTATTATGTTGTACACACCGTATTGTACACAAGAATGACGTTTAGACATATAACATCTGTTCCTGAAAGTTGACAATTCTATTCTGTAGTTGGCCATATGCTAGGAATACATAGTGAGAAACATGTTTTGACTTACTACAATATGATGATTATATTCAGTATATGTATGTATGCACTTAAACAGTAAATTGTTGAGTAAATGCAATTCAAATGTATTAACATTTTGAACAAATTCAAATGTATTAACATCTTGAACACACTCGTACCCAATGCAACTAGCTGCAGCATACTGATGTACTAGCGTTCAAACAATGTGATTGTATAGTTCCGTTGGAGAAGGTTCATGCTACTTAGTTAGTTTACTCAGCAGCTTACAATGAACTGTACTCTGCGAAGCTGTCTTCTAGAATGGCCTTCTGACCATCCCAAAATCTTGACTAATACCGGTATTAATGATGCTGAGATTTAGCCTCTCTGTGGACAGAACTACTGTCACTGTGGAGACAAACAACCGGTTTGGTGAGGGTACAACTAACTGTAATGTAGCAAGCAAGTATGACTGATTACGTGACAACCAGTAACACGAAACAAAACCGGCAAGCAGCCGGTGAGCCAGCAAGCAGCTGGAGAGATGACCAATGACTGCAACTGCATGACTGAACACTGAAGCAACCAATGGCTACAGCATCAAGAGCCAGTGCAGTCGCTAGCAAATGTGCATCACACATAGTGATAGTTGATACCCACCAATGTTCTGGCCGATGAAAGCTAATTTGATAAGTTAGGCTGAATACCCAATAGCCTCCCTTAATTTAAGCCTGACTCGTCCTAGGTTAAAATATCTTCAATAATGTTGTAATACCAACCACAGGGTGCGATAATTCAATATTTTTAGCCGTACCTGACTGATACTCCGACAACTTTTACCGCGTACCTGATCTGGTACAAACTTAAGAGTCAAGACGTACCTAAGACTACTTCCGAGTCATGCGTTTTTAGACCTAAGTATAGTTTACTGGTCCAAAAGCAAAAAATGTATGGGCAATTTTGTACAAATGAATCTTTATTAATTATGGTATTTGTACAACATAATACAGAACAGTTTTCAAAGCGTCGACGTTGTGGATTTACCGAGGGTGCTAACAGTCTGACCTCAGCTATACACAGTGTAGTTTTCCTCATTGGGCCTAAAAAAACTGGTTCCAGTTTCATATCGCGAAAAAATTAGGGTAGGTAGGTCGGAAATAAATTTTTTTTTTAATATTTTTTTCATGTTTTTTTTTGCTGAGCGATTTGCAGTAGAGTCCCGACAACAATATTAACTACCCTGTAGAGATGCGTATTTCCTATGGACGGATTTAGGCAATTTGGTTCAATAATTATTGTGACAACAGACGCCATTTTGGCACGCTGTGCGAACAGCCCACAACTACCCGGAGAAAATAGGGTCGTACGGTCAATCGTGTTGAAAAAAATAATAGGGTGGCAGAAAAAAATAGGGTCGGTCGGGAAACCGGAACCACAGGATATTTTTAGCCCTTGGTATAGCATTGACAACTAGAGGGCACTCAGAGACTGCATACCTCCGCCCGTTACTCGGAAGTGAAACGCAACCTTGGAATTTCCTAAGAAATCCACTTTATAATTCTTAAGCATAAAAGATTTCAGGCCCCCGCGAATTGAAATCGAATTGCTAATAGAACATATTACTGTTGTTGTACTGTACAGTACTTGTAAAATAAAAACTTATTAAGTGTCATTAAATAAATGCATAAATTTTGCTTTATGGACTCGCGCGTGCAGTAATTTTCACAGTTGTGCTATTTTAAATTCCCAGGTAGCTAAATGATTATTATTTATTACAAATGTCAATCAACGTTGTTACATGCTTCGAAGTTAATTATTAACTTATCGCATCCTACAAATACTACATTACTCTCCCTCTATTTTTTTTAACTGAATGTCAACCACTTAATAAAATGTCCTTGCCTTGTGTTCATACTTATGTAAATCAATGT